ATTTAATTGTGGACTGTTGTTAATTTAAAGATAATGAAAGAAAAAAATATATATTCTTGTTTTAAATAAACTTATAATATGTTTATTATTTTTCTAATAATAAAAAATTACAGATATATAGAATGAAAAATTGGCCACCTGATGTGAACAAGCCACCTTATAGTTTTTTAATATAGTTTCTTTTAAAAATTGTTATTTATTTTAAAAACAAAAAATTAAATAACAAAAACTGTAAAAAACAAAATGTTAAAAAATAACCAAAAAGCTTTAAGTCTCCAAGAAATCAGAAGGAACGATTTATATCCACGTAAAAACACTCCAACGGAAAATGAAAAAGTTAACAAACTACTCGAAACAATATTAAATTCAGAATCATTAAAACAACCTTTATTGGAGTCTTTTACAATGACAAAGCAAATTGATTACTTTCAAATAAAACTGATTTTTCTCTAACAATTATGAGTCGACTATTCAGCATCACTTTTCAAACACTTTCTGATCATTTAAAGAAACCCGAAACTGTTTATCCAGAATGTCGTTTTTCATAAAATATCAAGAAGAATAGATGAATTTGTTGAAAACCTTGTACCATCATGTTCAGAAAATAATTGCATTAATGAATTCGCTTATAATAAATGTTTGTAATTTAATTGATCATTATTCCGAAATATCACACAGTATTTAAGAAGACACGTGGAACATTTTCATGATTGCGTGAAAAAAATGCAGTGCCGGATGAATTAGAAAAAGTAAAACTTTATTTCATCCATATTTACAAAGAATTGAAATTGTTAAATGGAACACCAGCAGCACTTTTTCAACGTAGATGAAGTCGGGTTTTCTGATTGGATGGATAAACATAGCATGTTTGTTAATGTTACCAAAGAGAAGTATGAAAAACTCAAGAAATTGAAGAACTTAAACTTGGAGTGTTTTATTCATGCAAACGTAGCATTTGTATAGCTAGTTTTTCTTTTGATAATGCTTTTGTAACTCCAGTAATTGTACTTCCAAACAAAAATTATTATTCTTTATATTTGGGTTGCTTAATAATTAATTGAAGATGCATCACTATCTGTGAAAATAATGCGTATTGGATTCGTTTTATTGTTATGATATTTTACAACTATTTCGACTCTATCATTTTTACTATAACAAATAAGCATGTTACTCAATGTTAATATCAATCACAATTATCATTTTTCGCCATTCAGTGAACATTACCTATTGTGATTTTTTTATTACGACTATTATTATTTATTTGTTATATTAAACAATAAATACCTTATTTTACATTTAGTATATCTGACTTTTTATCATTGTCTTCGGATTTTATGAATAATTTTATCAGTTTTGGCAGAAATAAGTCTGTCTTGATAAGATTAATTATAGTTTATAAAAATATTTTAAACAATTATTTTTATTGGTTATTATTACTATTTTTATTATTATTAAAATTTATATAACTTTCGAGCAGGACACAAATTCAATTTATATATTGAAACACCTTTTTGAAATTAAATACAGAAATTGAATATTTTAAAACTTTAAGCTACTACCATAATCAATCTCAGTTGATTTTACACATTGACACTTTCATATAAAAATTGATTCAATTTATGGGTGGATTGAATGAGTGACAATTTTTAAACATTCGCTGCGTTTTGTGGGTTTCTTTAATATATTTAAAAGTCCAAATTTGTTATTATAAATAAATTGTTTCAAAATGCTACATTTAAGTTTTTTATTGTTGAATCGTGTTGTATTTATTAAATAATAAATCAAATGATTTATTTGATAACTTTTAAATTCGCTTTCTTTTATACTTACTAAATCATCATTTTCAATTTTAAAAACAAACATCAAGTGGTCGCAATTGACTGTTTAAGGGGTAATACAACTACAACAACAAAACCGTGTTATGTATCCGAAACGTCAATTTTATTAACATAAATATAAAAAAATCAAATCATTGTTTGAGTTTACAATTATTTTTGGTTATTTATTTTTTTGTTTTTAATTAATGTTTTAGAAATGATACAAAATGTTATTTATTTATAACAATAAATATTATATTTTACTATAATTTTCAAAAACTGACTTTTTCCACCAACTCTTTATTATTTTGGTTGTAATTTTTGTTATGTTTTGCTTATAAATTTTTATTTAAAAAATAAACGCACAAAACGATTTTTTGGTATAAAAAATAAAAAATAATTCCTTTATGATAATTTTATTTTATTTGTTTTTATCTGTTTTTTTCGGGAAAATCACCTAATAATATTTCAAAATTATTTAAACAGTTTTGGGACAAATCTAATAACTGTTAAAAAGAGCAGTATTGGGTTGTTGGTGAGTTTATTAAGTTTAATTTAAAGGTCTTTGGATTATTAAACAAATTAATGGAAATACTCAACTTTTTTAAAATAAATTATCTTTGTTGTATTGTTATGTTTTTTTTGTTTTTGTAATTTATTTAATTAAACAAATTGAAACGATTATTTTTATGTAATAAAAATGAAAAACAAAAACAGTCTGTATGTATTTGGGTAAGTATTAAGTGTTATCAAATGATGTAACACTGTAATTAAAATTAAACAAATTTAAGTGTAAATATAACAAAAATAATACTTGCCAAATTCAGAATTAGAATAGCTTAGAAAAGGAAGGCAAAAATTGCCAAAGCCAATAAGATGAAGTTAATAGCAGATGAATCTGGAACAACTGGGCTTTCTGATTCATAGCAGGCAGTATAAACGTCATTAGTGCATTTGTTACACTCAACTTTAGATGGGGTAGAAGTTTGATCGGTGCACGCAGCATCGTTATAAACAGCGAGAGTCCACTTTTTAACACCGGCATCTTCGATAATAACAGCCTTTTTGTATGCAGAAGCAAATTTATAGCAGACACCATTGTTGTAAACACCAGCGATCTTTTTGTCTTTATTTGGGCATGCAGTCTTGGCTTCAGCAGTAAAGGCGACCTCTTTTGTGTATTTGGCATCAACACTTTTCTTCCATGAAGTGCTTGTAGCAGTGAAGTCAATGGCTTCTGATCCTGTGGTACCAGCAATTTTACAATCAGCGTCAGTAAAATAGCTTCGAGTGTAAGCACCGGTAGCCACAGTAATTTTGAAGTACTCGGCATTCTTGGTCATGTAACATGTATCAACGTCATATTTCTCATATGTAATGACATCGCTTGATTCTAAAACGACGTTGTAGTAAAGAGTTTCACTCAGAGCAGCTACAAAGAAGAGGAAGAGCTTTGAATGAATTAACTAGTCAAAAAGGACTTATATACAAAAAATTAATGTAAAAATATTTTTATTTTAAAAAGTTACAATCGTTTTTTTCTCAAAATTCTATTTTTTTAAAAAAAAACTACACCTAAATAAGACCAATTATTTTACTTTGTATATTTGAATAAATGGAGTGGTTAATAATGTTCATATTTCCATTTGTTTTAGTTACTACATTATAAAATAATTTCAATATATTTTTATTGATATTTTTAAATGGTAATAATCGATAATGAATAAAATATTACATTAAATTTGTTTAAATTTTTAATATTTGTCATTTTAATTTAAAAATAATTGATAAATTAAAAAGTGTTTTCAAATTCGAAAAGTTCAACTTTAGAATTGTTTGGTGAGTTTTTAAACGTGGGGTTGATAGAAAAACAATAAAACATATTCAATTAAACGTAAAGTTTGAGAGGAAGCAAATAATTTACATTCGATTTGGAATTGTTGCAAATAAAACATTTAATAAAAGTAAAAAAACAACTTAATTATTAATAATTGATAAAATACAACAATTATTGTCGATAATTACAAAACAAAAACATAAAATGATATTTTCAAAAGTAATCAAATTGGGTAGTTTTTACGAGTTTGAATGGATAGAGATCTTTAGTTTTAACATGTAATTTATTTATTTAATTTACTATTTTTATAAACTGTTTATTTTTAAAAATTATATTTTTATTAAAACTAAGATTTGTTGTATCTAAATGCTTTATTTTATTTATACAGTTATTAACAATAACTTTTTAACAAAATAAACGATTTCAATTACTTCTTTAAAAGATAAGTTTTTATTATTATAATCAATTTTTATGTTAAACACTTTTATACTCGATAATTTATTAAAAACGGTCTTTTAATTTTATCTGGTTGACAAAAAATAGGTTTATTTTTGTTTAAAAATAGTGAATTAGGTAAAAGGTGAAAAAAATCGATAAAACGGAATGAATTTTTGAAACTGCTTTCCACAATATTTCAATTTTAATGGTTTAAAATGTATTAAATAATGTTAAAAGATAGAGTGTAATATATTTTAAAATAATCAGAAAAAAGTAATCACGTTTTTCCATACTTTAGAGTTAAAATGTAACGGATAATGTCAAATGATTATTGTGTTATTTTTTGTTGTATTTTTAACTACACACATGAAAATGTATAATTTTTATATAAAACATTTATGAGTTAAAAAATTCTATATTATTAAACATTAAATTTATAAAAAAATTATTTTGTTTTATATTTTTAACTTTACAAATCCACATTTTTTTGTTTAAAAAATTTAAATTATAAACGAATTTACATTTTTATATAAACAATTAAATAAAATCAAAATATCTTATACTTTTTGTGGATCTCCATTCCAACTTGGAATAAATCCATGAGTTACAATTTTGTGTCTCAAGACTGGGGCACATAAGTTTTCAATATTAAAAAGGGTTTTGTTTTGAGAATTATAAATTATTTTATTATCATCTCTGAAACAAATTCTTTGCGAACACCCATCAAGTTGGTACTTGGTACTTATTTGTATAATCATTTTCAACTTTTTGGGTTTCATTTTTCTTTATTTTATTTATTTTTTCTTTTATGTTTTCATAATAAAAATTGTACTTTTGATTGAAGTAGTGCGTGTAAAAGATGTAGTTGTGGACTGCCTGGTCATACCCCCATTCTGAATATTTCTGGGGTTTCATTGTTTCTGTCATTAATCTGATGTAATTTAACACTTGTTCAGTTCCTCCAAATGTTGTCCCAACATTGATTAATAACGATGAATTCTTAACATACCCATTAGACACCTTCTGACCAAATCCCCCTTTCATCCACTGTTTGTTTTCAATTTCATTTAGTGTCACACAGTTATTATTGCCATAAATGCACTCAGGTGTAAAAAACAGATCATTTGACGAGAATGTTGCAAAGAAGTCTGCAAATATGAACACATCACGAAAGTCACTAATAAGTACCCTGTCGTATTTTTCAGTGTTATTTTGGATGTATTCCTTGAATCCAAAAAACGTTTTGAGGCGTCTTGACACTTCTCGATGTAAGACATGTCAACTTCAAGTGTTTTGAATCCGTTCTTATGAGCAAGTGTAATAAGTTGAGAATAGTTGTATCCTTTGAAAAGTATAATCACTTTATCTGCATGTGGAATCAATGAATGAGCAAGACCAAGCACAAGAGAAACCTCTTTCATTATTTTCTTGTAATAACTATCACTTATGACACCAACAGCTGTAAGCCACAAGTCCCTTTTGTTGTTTGGTTGATATTTGAACACATTGCTACAGACTCCACTGTAATTAAAATGTGTTGTTAAAATTTTTTGGTTGTGATAAATTGGATATTTAAATGTGTTATTTTTTTAATAACTCGTTTGGATTAAATGTCACTTTAAAGTTTGAAGAAGTTTTGTATGTAAATATACAGATAAATGGTATAAATGACAATACAACGACAATAGTAAATAAAATTTGAAAGTGTTCAACCATATATTTGAATTTATAGATTTCAAATGGTTGATTATTGTGATTGAAAATCAAACAGGTTAATTATGTTAAAAGCTGTTATATATTTATAATTATGAAACAAATTATCAAACAATATTATGAAACAATTTTAAATAAAAAATAAAAAGTTAAGAAATAAATATTAAAAAACATGATAAATTTAATAAATAATTGTTAATTTATTGTATTATTAATGAATGTAAACTGTAATAATATTATAATAAAATTAATAAGAAATAAAATATAATAATAAATTATCTTTATTATAATTAATAGTAAATATAAATCTATATATTGTTTTGTGGTTTAAAAACAATTTTAATATATTTTTAAACTAAAAAATAATTTTTGAAATTAAAAATATATTTTATATCTTACAAATAAAAATTAGTTATTGTATTTGATTCCAGATTTATTTCGCATTCCAAATAAATTTGACATAATATTCCATATTATAATTTACTAAAAATAATAATATAACTCAAAATGACGTGTTAACCAAGAATTTGATTTTAGTTTACATAAAATATATTTGAATATGTATTGTAATGAATTCACATATAAGAACATGTCAATTTGGTATTTTGAAAGAACAAATTAAAAACAATATAATAAACCTGAGACGACACTTTACAAATCAAAGTTCAAAACAACAAATAGTCCTTTATATATTTTAATATCTGTCATTTTGAACATTAAATAAAAACTTTTGAATATAAAAAATAATTGTTTATACAGGTTTTGAATAATTGCGTTTGTTTAATTAATTATACGATTTTTTTTAAATTAAGTGTTTTGAATATTTATTCAAGCTGATAATTGAACTAGAGTAATTATTCATTTGTTTATATAAACGAATATACACATAAACAATCTATACAAAACAACATAACAATATATTTGATTGTTGTTATATTTAAGTGGTTTTGAAAATATAAATTATATAAATTATATTTATTTTCAATTCGTTATTAAACAAATAACAATATATTGCTCGTATATGTTTGAGAGTGTATCGAAAAGCCAGTTTTTAAGTTTTTATATATTTTCAATAAGATGTCGTTTACCTTAACTACAATTATAATATACAAACGGTCAAATTTAATTTTATTCGTTTAATATAAAAATAACTATCGTTATATTTATTTAAAAATTATAACACAAAAATAATTTTTTCGTAACCAATCTTTTTATTGATCAAAAAATTTTATGTTTGTTTGGTCAAATTTGAATAAGTTTGAAAATTTTAAATTAAATAATTTAAAATAATTGAAAAGAAGAAACTTTGACATTAAAGAGGAATGTAATACAAATATAGAATTATTGTTAATTATATATAAAAAACTCCAATTTTCTATTCGAAATCATTGTAATGAAAATAAGTCCTGTTCTTCTTCCCGAGTATAAAACCTTTTTCCGAACAATTCAGTTTGATCGTTCACTGATACGTTTTACTTTATATGTCATTTTATTAATTCTTTGTATGTCGATACCAAACATCTTTCTCTATTTCATGGGATCGGTCTACTCTCCAATGTACTCATATACCAACTTGTTCACAAACTTACTTCCTGGTGTTTTAGTCTACTTTGTATATTTAATAACATTCACACCATTGCCCTCTTATTTTGTGACACTTCAAATCGACTGGCGCAAGCGCTGGCCTTTCATTTTATGTTCGCTCTTCATTGGGCAGTTATTAGTAGTTTTAGGATTTGTGTTATATTACATTTGTTATCCATCAGACGTGAGTTGGTCGATGGACAAAGAAGTTCTGCAATACAAAATAGAACTTTCAGACAACCGTTCTGATTCCGAAATTAAATTCCAAATAGTTTACAACTCCTTTCTAACTGTCGTTGGCGCACCTCTGACTTATTTTGGGATGGTCTTTCTCTGTGAATTGGGACTTAGAGGGTATTTGCTTATATCCATCGCGTCACACGTACATCCAGCAGTCGCAAATATCATAACATCTTTTATACAAATTGCTGTGTATGCGGTGTATGATGGACTGAGTATTAATAACTATTATTCATATCAGTACATCTTTGCAAGTGCTTTTATGAGGTTCTCTCAGGCACTTTTACTTGGAGATGTGATGATCAAAAGTGGAAACGTGTTTGCACCAGCTTTCGTCTCTGCTGCATTTATTAAATGCAGTTCACTATTTAGTGTGTTTTTGAGTCCTTACGCATATTTAAACAATATATTACTCGGACCAACAGAGAGTGGTGTCTTGAATAACTTACCAATGTTCTTGCTCGCAAATGTTTTGAACATTTTTAATAATTTTGGTGATGTGGACGAAATTACCAAAAATAGAGATGCAGAGGAAAATGGTTATAAAGAAATTAGAAGTGAGTTTAATACAAAAAATGATGAAAATAAGCCATTGACTATTAATTAAATACTTTTAATTGAGTCATTTTAATGAAGTTTGGGTTGATTTTTATTTGTTCGTATTAAATTAAAATATTAATAATTTTTAGTTTACATTATATTAACAATAGATACAGTTAGTAAATAAACGCTTTTTAATTGCAATGGTCGTCTCTGTGATTTATAACAGAAAAAATTATTAAAATTTAAGTGTTTTGATGGTTTTTCAATTCATTCATAGCTCGTTATAGATATTTTTGATGGAATTTATGTTTTATAATTATGAAATTGTTATAGTAAATTAATAATCAATAAAAATGAACACTTAAAGGATTCATTCGATTATTGTGCGTATTTGGATATTATATAAATTTGGCTGGTTTTTGTAATAAAAACAAACTAAATAGTGTATATTTTGAATGGTAAATCAAATTTCATATTAGATTTTAAATAAGTGTACATTTTTATATAATTATTTGAACATTGTTTTGAATAAAATAACCCCTTTTAGAACTTTGTATTCTCATTCAATCTTAAAATACATTTCTTTGTGTTATTCCCAAAAGTTTTAAAAATTAAAATTTGTTGGTTTAAATAAATAATATATTTTTTTATAGTAAGTAGAATAATAAAAAAGTATGTATTATATATATAATTAAAATAATTATGATGAATGATACAGTTCGCTAAACACTATTTTATTGTTAAGTTTGGTTTTGTTTTCTTTAAGTCTATTTTTAATTAAAATGATCTATTATTTTAATATATTAAAGTGATATAATATTTAAATTAATAAATTATTATATTAAAAAAATTAAAAAAAGCTATGGAAACAAAGAACATTTATTGATTATATATTTAGACCATTTTTAATTAAAAAAAGATTACAATATCGTTTTAAAAAACGGTCATTTAAATTTTGTATATATAATTTAAGTTAATTTAAATATATGAAAAAACAATTAAAATATTAAACACTTTTTTAAACTTTATTATTCACAAAAATTGGGAGTTATTGAAAATTATAATTAACTCTTAATGACTCTTTCTGAATATTACTACCCTTTTAAATGAATATTTAATCCCATCAGAACTTCTTTTTTCAATAAGTTTAACAAAAATGCTCTCTTCTATTATTATTGGATTGTTCTTTATTGTTAGTACGGTAAATTCTGCTGACTGTTTCACAAAAGACGGCAGTGGTTGTCTTAGTGGTAAAGGTACATGCTCTGGTGATATGACTGTTTCTGGTGTCACTTGTGTCGCTAACAATGCATTTTTCAAAATCAAA